ACACACACACACACACACAGTACATGAACAGAACACACACACACAGTACATAAACAGAAAACACACACACACACACACACACACACACACACACACACACACAGCACAAGGACACACTTCATCAGCCATTGTCTTTTTATTGCACATTCTTCCTTTTACTTCTTATGTTTAAATACATATTTTTATTCTATTTTACTTGATCTTTTATTGGACATTTTACTTCAACTTATTACATCTTTCTGAATATGTTTAGTTGTATCTTTCTATTGCACATCCTCCCTTTATATATAACTATTTTACATTAATTAATGATTTTTTTTTACCATATGCAATTTTCACAATGACTTGTTCTTTGTCTGTTAATACGAATTGTAAATAGACTAATATAAATAAGCGAAGGATTGATGTATGATGGACAGATCATTCAGTTGCATTCAAAGCAGATTCAGTTAGTGAGTCCATCCGTCCCCACAGACCCGTGAAAAGCAGACGGAGATGAATCAACGGATCGCGGCGCTGCGGGACTCCAAGGTCCGCCTGGTGTCTCAGCTGCACTCTCAGACTCAGCAGGTCCTGACTGTGCAGCTGCGTCTGCCGGCCCATCTCCACCGCCCTCCACCCACCCTGCCTGCCATACTACCAGAGGAGACCCCCGAGAAGAGGCTGCAGTTCAACCGTGCAACCCTAGAGCGCTACCGTCGTCTGAGGGATCAGAGGTACAGCAGCCCGTTTGATCCAGGTTCAAATCGAAATGACAAAGTAGCAAAACATTTATTGTACACTATTATACTTAGCTGGCTTAAAGGCCTATCTTTAGATGACATTTCTTAATGTATGACTGTGTATATCAAATGTTTGAACCTGAAACCATTGCTAAGAGCAATATAGCTCCTGAATGTTTTTGTATAGCACCTTTCATACAATAAGTGCAGTTCAAAGTGCTTCACATAGACATTTCACAGAACATTGATATCACACAGATACCAGTAAAAGACTTAGACATAGAGTAGACATATAAAAAAGACATTTAGATTAAAGGTACAACGATGAAATTATTCATTAAAAGGAGGATAGTGCAAATTCATAGTTTAAAAAATATTTAAACAGGATGCAGAGCATGGAGCAGGACGAGCAGGAGGACAGCACCTATATATTGGCGCAGCTGGAGAAGGAGGTGGGAAGAGAGGAAGGGACTCTGAGTCACTCAGCTTCATCTGTAACCAGAGAAGAAGAAGAGGAAGGAGCAGAGCTGAGCGAGCTGGAGGAGGAGCTCCGGAGGGAGGAGGAGATCAGACTGCTGCACGAGCAGGACTCTCTGCTGGAGCAGGTCTGCTTTGGAGTCTATTATAGAATCTGAAAATAAGCAACATTTGTGCTCTTTAAGGCGATTGTTTTATATATTACACGTTTTCTGGTATGCAGTGTTTGAATATGCAAGCGAGGCTTTATGTAATATTTACCCATGGTGAATTTAGAAGTACTCTTCATACTGAACAGAAACATGTAATGTAATGTGAATATGGAGGTTTTCTTTTCACTTGCAAAATCTCAAAAATATATTGGTGCATTAAGAAGAAAGATTGTTTTAGACAGGGGTGTCCAGCCCTAAATGTGTAACCACAAACACAATCTTCTAGAATAAGAATGTTAGGTACCACTTTACAATAAGACTACCCTTATAAAGGGTTTACGAATAGTTTGTAAGTCATTTATTAATTAGGTTGTGAACACTTTATGAATCCTTAATAAGCTTTTACAAGACATGAGATAAACAGGGCAACTGTGACCGGTTGCTTGCCAAATAGTGAGCCCACATTTATCTGTACTGCTAAGCCTTATTAGAAATGGTATTAACTCATTAATAAATGGGAATGTATTTTATACTTTACAACAAGGCTCCCTTTTGGCGACTATAAACTCATAGTAACTCGTAAATAAATGGTCATAAAGAGATGCCAAGAAACATCAGGGGGACCGAGTGATAACCGTTCTACTGATTCGGATATAACGTTTGGATCGAATGAGGCAGAAGAAGTAGTCGGGTCGTAGGGAACTATAGACAAACAAGAGACTCGACTAAGGGGCGGG